ATTTTTAGAGCTCTTTTAACTTCTTGAATGGCTGTCTTCTAATCTTTCACGATGTTAGGAAAGATTTCTTCCAGCAACTTTTGAACAATTTTCTCTACGATTTTGTTTGTCTCTTCCTGCTCTGGGATTCCAATTACATGTCAGGGATTCCTTTTGACAGTGTCCCACATAAACTTTAGGCGTTCTTCAGATTTTTAAAATTCTTCTCTTTGATTGTTCCTCTTGAAGGTGAGTATTGAGAGATTTGTCTTGAAGCTCTCTGATTCAGCTTTTCATAGATTCAATTCTATTTTTTTAATTTTTCCATGTATTATTATATCTGGAATCTTAGTTTATATTTTTCTGGCTTTCTAATTGATGTTTTTGTTTGTTTTCCACTTTTTCATTTATTTTGCACGTTTGTTTTTGTATTATTTTCCTGAATTCATCCTTACTTTTGTTGATCTTTCTTCCAATTTGTTGAAGGTACCTGCATAACGTTCTTTTAAATTCCTTATCAGGTGGTTCTGATTCCATTTCTGGTATTATATTTTCTGACTCTATATTTTGGTCATTTGTTTGAAGTACTCTGTCTTGTTTCTTTGTGTAAGTTGAAATTGTGTGTTTTCTCTGAGACATTGTGATATATTTATATTTAATTGATGGCTGTATGTTGATGTGTTCTCAGACACTCACCACCTGCAGATATGATACAAACTGGAAGTCTGAACACAGTTCTTGGTTCACTGCTTGTGTAGTAGAGTTCAGGGTAGGTTACCCGCCTCTGGAAAGACCCCAGGAAAAGGTTGCATAGGAGGTTTTACCACTAGCTGCTGTGTTGGCAATTACTGGACTGGCCAGAAGGGTAAGAGAATAAGGGAGGACTGAAACCCCTCTTGTCTCCCACCTGACCCTATGCCCGCAGGCTGCTATATAGGCAGTCACTGGTAAAAACTCAACATGGCTATACCATTCCACGCCAGCTGATAGCTCGCCTGTTTATCTTCCCTCTCACTGCTCCTACTTTGCTTCCTCTTCCAGTTATCACTCAGTCCTATCTCTGTCCTAGTTATGAAGCTCAGGATTCCAGGATTACCATCTGTCTAACCTCACTTCTTCTCCCATGTCTTTGTTGCAGAGGGTCTGCTGAGTGAGGCTGCCAACTCTGCCATCTTGCCTCAATCCCTCAATTTAGACATTCAGTTATATTTTAATGAAATTTAAAGATGAAAAAAAGTGTCTTTTATTTACATGGACCAAGAAGCAGTTGCTTGAACAGAACATGGGAACACTGAATGGTTTAAAATTAAGAAAGGTGTGCAAAAGAGTTGTATTCTTTCACCATACTTGTTCAACCTGTATGCTGAGCAAATAATCCGAGAAGCTGGGTTATATGAAGAAAAACGTGGCACCAGGATTGGAGGAAGACTCATTAACAACCTGCGATATGCAGATGATACATCTGCTTACTGAAAGTGAAGAGGACTTAAAATACTTACTGGTGAAGATCAAAGACCAAGGCCTTGCATTGCAATGTAAAGAAAACAAAAATCCTCACCACTGGACCAATAAACAACATTCTTATCAAAGGAGAAAAGATTGAAATTGTCAAGGTCTTCATTTTTCTTGGATCAACTATAAACATTCCCAGAAGCAGCAGTCAAAAAATCAAATGACGTATTGCATTAGACAAATCTGCTGCACAAGACCTTTTTTCAAAGTGTTGAAGAGCAAAAATGTCAGCTTGAAGATTAAGGTATTCCTGACCCAAGCCATGGTATTTTCAATAACCGCATATGCATGTGAATGCTGGACAGTGAATAAGGAAGACCATAAAAAAATTGATCCTTTTGAATTATGGTGTTAGAGGAGAATATTGAATGTGCCATGGGCTGCCAAAAGAACCAACAGATCTGTGCAGCCAGAGTGCTCCCTGGAGGCCAGGATGGCCAAACTATGTCTCTCATACTTCAGACATATTGTCAAGAGGGACCAGTCACTGGAGAAGCATTGGTAAGGTGGAGGGTCAGAGAAAAAGAGGAAGACCCCCAGCGAGATGGATTGGCAAAGTGGCAGCATCAATGGGCTCAAGTGTGGCAACAATTGTGAAGTTGGCCCAGGATTGGGCAGTGTTTCGTTCTGTTGTGCATTACCGACTTGATGGCACCTAACAACAACATTTACCTATTTATATACAGTTTTTGGAGTCCTGGATGGTGCTGCAGGATAATATACTGGACCACATGGTCAATTTGAACCACAAGGTCGACAGGTCAAACTCACCAGCCACTCCTCAGAAACACCCTACACAAGATCGCTATGAGTCAAAACCAACTCAACGGCACTTAATAATAACAGCATACAGTTTTTAGTGTTTTGCATTCTTTTAGGTGGCTTCAAATTTCCTTTTGGTATAATGTTTCCTTTCTTTAGAACCTCCTTTAACATGTCTTATAGTGGGGTATCTTGTTAATAGATTCCCCTACTCTTTTGTATGAAAAATGTCTTTGTTTTCATCTGAGATTTTGAGGGATATTTTCATTGGCTATAGTTGTAGCTTACAGACTATCTTTCTTCGTCTATACAAAATTTGCCATTTTTTTCCCTTTGCTTTTTTTTTGGCAGACAAGATCATCAGCTTTGCTTTTAACCAATCATACATTTTGTTTCATCTTAATGCTTACAATCCTTTCCCTGCAACAACAGCTATCTTTCTTCCTCCCTGTGGCTTCCCTTTTACATCTTATTTTTCACAAACCAAAAAAATAAAAGTATTTTGATGTACACATATGAAACAAAAAAATATGTATTCATTTAAATGTACCTTTGAATGTTTTTAAGGTTTTCTCTTTTTCATTAGTGTTCAGCCTTGCTTCTCTCCAGCATATAGTCTATTGGTGGTGATATTTTATGATTAATATTGCCACCTCATGCCATGGATTAGCAGCACTCTCACCCTCTTTACAAGTGAAGGCAGAGTTATCTATCAGTGCCTTTAACAGTAGTCAGGCTTCAGAACCAATTTAAAATACTCATCCCTGTGATTTTGTTTTCCTAGAACCACTCTCAGTACCAAATGTCTTAGGCTGGATTCTCTAGAGTAGCAACACCAGTGAAACTTACATATGGTTCTTTGTCCAAAGAACTCCCTTTAGTGTTTTTTGAAGTTTATATCAAGGAAATGGCTTATAGTTATAGATTTGGAAGAGTCCCAAGTCCAGATAAAGTGAGCCAAGATCAGCAGGTGGGCCCAGCAGTTAGACTTTCTAGATAGGAGTTCCAAGTGTAGGTCAGATGGAGCAAGTTTGCCAGGTGGGTTGGCAATCACATGGGCAGACAGGAGTCCCAAGTATGGATTGCATGATCCAAGATTGGCAGACAGAAAGGCAGACAAACAATAGAGCAGGCCATTGTTCCTATTCAAGGAACCAGAGGTTGGAGGATGACCCAGATGTGAAATCCAGATCCAATGGAAAAGAGAGCAATTTTTTCCTACATGTCCATTATATTGGGAGCAGGCCACATCCCCAAGGAAAAAAATCCTTTTAATAGATTGGCTGTCATAGCCAATCTATTATCATCCTCACAGAGTTAACTATGCCTGTATTAGAGCTCACCATGGGATAATCAAAACTCACCTGCCAAACCATTGGGAATCTTAGCTCAGTCAAGCTGACCCCAAATCTTAACTATCACAGCATATTTCATTATAATATATTACATTGTCTTGTTGAGCTAGCTGCCTTTTGAAATTTTCTGTTTATTTCATTGTTTTTTTTTTTCCCAGTCACTTTAGCACATCTCTAAACTTAATAATAAGTTTCAGAGTGTATTCTGACATAACTTTTGTCTTTTCTTTGTTTCCTGTCTTTTTATAACCTTTGGTCTTTTCATGTATGGTGTTCTTGAGGTCACCCCACAATTCCTTTTGTCTACATTTCTTTGTGTCTAATGCATGAAATATGTACTTGAAATGTAATGTTCTTCTTGAGGTGGGATTTACTCAAGGTCATATTTTGACTCTTGTGGACTTGTTTTAATTTTCTTCAGCTTCAGCCTGAAGTTGCGTATGAGTAATTGATAGCCTGTTTCATAGTTGGCTCCTAGCCTTGTTTTTGCTGATGATATTGAGCTTTTCCATCAGCTCTTTCGAAGATGTGGTCAGTTTGATTCCTGCGTATTCTATTTAATGAGGACCACATATAACTGCTGTCTGTCTATGTTGTTGAAAATTTTTTTTCAATGAATAAGTTGTTTGTCTTGCAAACTTTTATCATGCAATCTCCAGCATCATTGCTATTATCAAGCCATAGTTTCCAACTACAGATCTTTCCTTTTTGTTTCCAGTTTTACATTCCAATCACCAGTAGTTATCGATGCATGTTTTATCACATTTCTGACTAAATAAATTAGTAGAATTCTTCAATTTCATCATCATTGGCTTTAATGCATGGGGTGTAAATTTGAATAATAGTAATATTTAACTCATCTTCCCTGTAGACATATGAGCATTGTTGTTATTATTAAGTGCTGTTGAGTTGGTTCTGACTCACAGTGACCCTGTATAGGGTTTCCAAGGAGCGGCTGATGGGTTTGATTTGCTAGCCTTGCAGTTAAAACTTACCTTGCGGTCCAGTGCATTATCTTACAGTACCACACTAGGATATGAGCACTGTTGTTGTTAAGTGCCATTGAGTCAGTTCTGACTCACAGTGACCTTGTATAGGGTTCCAAGGAGCAGTTGGTGAGCTTGAACTGCTGACCTTGTGGATCAAACCTACTTTGCAGTCTAGCAGATTAACCCACAGCACCACACCAGGACTTCTGGATAGGAACATTATGGGAAGAAAATCTGAAGATAATACAAAATGCACACATAGAGATTTGGCTATGGAACTTTCAGCCATCTTCATTGTAGCGATAACTTAGATGCCATATTTAAATTGGGAGAATCAGTATGGAATCAGGTAGCATAAGGTGAAGGATTCTTATTTATATATATGTTTTTTATTCAATTGTAGGCATGTTCCCTGGAATCTTCATGAGCCAATGAAAGGACAATTTTATTTCACTAGAAACTTGGATATAAGGTATGTGTTCATGTTTAAGTTGTTTTATGATTGTCATGTGGCTTAGATTCAGGGACTTGAATCTGTGGAGATTAGATGCATTAGTAAGGATACCTTACATTCTGCTTTGACAATCATCAGGAATTGCTGAAAAATTTCCTCTCATGATTAAAATACCTTAAGCATTGATTCTGTTTTTCACAGTGGAGTCTAAATCTTGGTGTCCATGGGACATTCTTACTCACAACTGGTTTTGAAATTGTACAAGTTTAGTGTATCCTGAGGATACTGCTTTCTCATCTCAAAGAAGATTTCTGATTTACAGGGTCTCTAAGACATAACAGAATTTTAAGTATCTAAGTGATGCAAATGATTTGGGCTCAGTTGCTACTCTTTGTTGTTGTTGTAAATACATCTATCACAGAACTTTTATCAATTCTACCCACACATTGCATTTTGTTGCATCTGGTAATAATGCTGTGTGTTTTGAGTAGAGGAAATGTCAAGAAATTAAGGTGAAATATAACTAGAGGCCAGATCCTGACCTTATATACTTACTACCCTACAGAATTTGAAATTTATTCTGAAGGCCTTAGGGAATCAATTGAAGAATTTTAATCTGGAGAGTTCATTTTTGAAAATTCATTTGGTTAGTATGTTGAAGATTGATTAACAATGCATTTCTAGAGGTCTGAAATCTAATTTTAGCTCTTCTACTTATAAGGAGCTCTGGTAGCGTAGTGGTTACGAATCGGGCTGTGAGCCGCAAGGTCAGCAGTTCGAAACTACCAGTAGTTCCACAGGAGAAAGATGAGGCGGTCTGCTCCTGTAAAGATTTACAGCCTCGGAAACCCTGTGTAGGGTCGCTATGAGTCGGAACCGACTCCACGGCACATAACAACAACAACAACAACTTATTAGAAATTGACCTTGAGGAAGTTCAAACTCTTCAAGTTTGAATTCTTATCTGTAAAAGAGAGAATATATTGATACCTATCTTGTTGTTGTTATTGTTAAGTGTCATTGAATCGATTCCAACTCATAGTGAACCTGTATAGGGTTTCTGAGGTTGTAAAGTTTTAGCTTTCTTTCAAAAGCAGCTGATAGGTTCAAACTACTGAATTTGTGGTTAGCAGTCCAGTGCTTATCCTACAGAACCACTGTGTTCCCATCAATAACAAGAAGAACTAATATTTACTTACTATAAGGCACTGTGGGATAAAGCACTGGACCACAAGATCAGTTTGAGTCACAAAATTGGCAGTTCACTCTCACCAGCTTCTCCTTGGAAACCGTATAACAGGGTCTCTATGAGTCAGAACCAACTTGATGGCACTTGACAACAACAACAACAAACATAAGCCCCAGGTACTATAGTGAAATTCTTTAAATTTATTGTTATTTGACAAAGACGGAAGTAGGAAACTTGAAAACTTGTCAAATGACAATGAACTTATGCTGTAGTACCTGATGCTTGTTGTTGTTGTTGTTGTTAAGTGCCGTGGAGTCGGTTCTGACTCATAGCAACCCTGCACATGGTTTCCGAGGCTGTAAATCTTTACGGGAGCAGAATGCCTCATCTTTCTCCCATGGAAACGCTGGTAGTTTCGAACTGCTGACCTTGCAGTTCACAGCCCGATTCGTAACCACTACATTACCAGAGCTCCTTACACGAAGTAAATATTAGCTCTCTTGTTATTGATGGGAGCACTTGGCTCTGTAGTATAAGCACTGAACTGCTCACCACAAGGCCAGTGGTTTAGCCCCACCAGCCAATCCACAGGAGAAAGATGAGGCTTTATATCCCTGCAAAGATTTATAGCCTCAGAAATCCCATACAGGTTCTCCATGAGTTGGAACCAACTCAGTGGCACTTAACAACAGTAACTTGTTGATAATGATATTATTATTATTGACAGTAATTGGAGAAGGATTGGAAGAAAATAAGAATGAAGAAAGGCCATTCTAGTAACTCAAGTGTGCAACACTGAGTTCTTGAACAAAGATGGTAGCAGTAGGAATGTAGAGGAAATTCAAGTTTGAAAACATTAATTAGGAGGAAGAAATAGCATTTCATGACTGACTGAATGTGGGGAGGGGATTAGGAGGAAGGATGATTCAAGAATGAATTCTCTAACTTTCTGACTAAAGTGCTTCCTAGATAGTAGTGCCATTCATAGAGACAGGAAAGGGTATGGGGTCAGGGGAGCAGATTTGAAAGAGAAGATAGAGTTTGATTTTGAACTCTCAACTTTAGTTTCTCCTCTCTAAAACCTTGACTGAACCCTTAGTCTATTGAGTGCTGGGTTCCCTATCCAGTTGTGTGTTTCCTACAGGGAATTTTATAGGCTAGGCTATAAAAGGAAACAAAGAGAGAGACATAGCAGGGATTCCAGATCTTGGATTTAGATGTCTAATCATTGTCACTTCTTTGTTTCCTAGAATCTTTATAACCACAGCTTCACAGGTGGGGCTGTGGGTTATTCTGTGTCCAGGCCCTTACATCGGTGGAGACCTAGACCTTGGAGGCTTGCCCAGGTAAGCTGTGTTCTGAGGGTCCCTGGCCATGACCCTACATATGCTGCAGTACATTTAAAAGCAAATTAGAAAAACAGTTTTGCTTTCCATGTACATTTTTTATCTGCATGATTTTTCTTCTTCTTCACTTAGTGACATAGAAAATGAACTTTAAAATGTACGGATTGTTGTTGTTACGTGCCATCAAGTTGGTTCCGACTCCTGTTTCCAAGGAGCAGCTGGTAGATTTGAACTTCCGACCTTGCGGTTCACAGTCCAGTGCTGATTCTACTGCACCACACCAGGATTAAATAGTATTTAAACACTGATTCTCAAGGTCGGTGGTTCAAGCTCCTCGAAAACCCTGTACAAGGTCTCTATGAGTCGGTACTGACTCGATGGCACTGAACAACAACAACAATTGTTATCAACCTCTTGCTAGTGCAAATGAAGTGGAATACATATTGATTATATAAATACAAGCTAATAGCTGTCACTTGAGCAGTAGCTCAATACTGAGGTGACAGTATAGCGAGAACTAGAATTGATATTCTCTTTTAAAAAGAGATTGATAAAAACAACAAAATTTCTACAGATTTATTAAAAATCCCCTTCTAGGCTAGGGGATCAGAAATCTTTTTCTGTAAAGGGCCAGATAGTAAATATTTCAGGCTTTGCTGGCTGTCTCTAGTCATTGTCACAATGCAATGCTGCCAATGTAGCATAAAAACAGCTATGAGAATATGTAAACAGATGGGCTAGCTATCCTCCGCTGTTGCTACTGTTAAGTGCCATCAAGTCAATAATGATTCTTATAGGATTTCCAAGGATCAGTTGGTGGATTTGATCTGCCGACCTTGAAGTTAGCAGTCCAGTGCTTATCCTACAGAAACCTGATTTGCTCTGTAGGCTATAGTTTGATGATGCCTGCTCTAGATCATTTTTCTATGATACAACCTTCATTTATATCTTGATGAAAGAGGTGATGGCTTAACTGACGAACCACTTGTGACTAGAACCTAGACTTTTCCTTGTTGTTAGGTGCCACTGAATCAGTACTGACTCATAGTGACCCTATACAAGAGAAGGAAACACTGACCAGTCCTGCGCCAATCTCACAACCGTTGCTAGCTTGGGCCCATTGCTGCTGCTGTTGTACCAATCCATCTCACTGGGGGTCTTCCTCTGTGTCTTTCCACAGATATAGTCAGTTTGATTTTTGTGTATTCCATCTGGTGAGGTCAATGTGTATAGTCATCTTTTAGGATGCTTAGTAAAGTTATATGCAATGAATAAATCTTACAACATTCTATCATGCAATCCCAGCACTGTTTCTATCACCAAGGCCATATTTTCCAACTACTGATCCTCTTTTTTGGTTCCAACCTTGGCATTCACATAAATAATTATCAACACATTTTTATTGCATGTTTGATCAATTTCAGACTGAAGAAGTTGGTAGAATTCTTCAATTTCATCATCACTAGTGCTCTTCATCATGTTTCAGTGTTCAGTATTCTGGTGCTGACAGTATTCCACTGCTATTCATAAGGTTTTCAGCGGCTAAATGTTCAGAAGTAGTCCATTTCTCCTTCTTCCTAGTCTGTCTTAGTCTGGAAGATCAGCTGAAACCTGTCCATCTTGATTTACCCTGTTGGTGTTTAAAATACTGATGTCATAGCTTTCAGAATCACAGCAACATGCAAGCCACTACAGTACAACAAACTCTGACAGACAAGTGGTTTGAACTAAATCCTCACAATATTAGGTCCTGGTGTAACTGCAAATTTGGGCTGTACATGCTTCTCCAGCCTCATGCTTGAACACTTTTTACTGCTATTTTCCATCCCAAGTCTGAGTCTTGCCTTTTTAAACCCTAGCTGGTTGCTCCGGAATTCAAGAATGAAGCTGAGAACAACTTACAGGGGCTTCACTAAAGCAGTAAATCTCTATTTTAATAAACTGATTCCCAAGATCGCATCCCTACAGGTAAGACCTAATTCTCCATCTCTTCACTCAGGGAGGTACTTGCCTTAATTGATTTCTTAGACAGGGCTTCATAACCAGTTGTAATCAATTTGATTCTCACTCATGGTGAGCCCATGTATGTCAGAGTATGATTGTGCTCCAACAGGGTTTCGTTTTGTTTTAGATAACATTATATTGTCCTTTCAGTGAACAATTACATAGCAAATTAGCTTTCCATGTAATAGTTTTCTACAAAAATTGTTAGATGGAAACCTAATTTGCTGTGTAAACTTTCACTGAAAACATATTTGTACAAAAATTTTTCAGTGACATTGATTATGTTTGTTTGTTTTTTTCAACACTGTGTCAACTTTTTCATATATACTTTTTTCTGGTTGTTCTGTTTTCAGTAATCCAGTTTCCCTGCTCCCTTGCCTTTACATCTTTGCTTTAAAAAATGGTGATTATTTGGCTTCATAGAGATGATTTTAAAAAGAAGCACAGTACTCAGAGGTGCTATTCTTTATTTTATGAGCAAAACTCTTATTTAGCCAAGAGTTGACTGCAAGGAATGGTTTCAGTTCAAAGTTTAAAGAGTATCTGAAGGCGATAGTCTTGGGGAGTCTTCTAGTCTCAACCAGTCCATTAAGTCTGTTAAGAATTTGAGTTCTGGTTCACATTTTTCTCCCATTCTATCAGGATCCATCTATTGTGTTCCTAATCAGAACTGTCAATAGTAGTAATTGGGTCCCTTCTAGTTCTTCTGGTCTCAGGGTAGATGAGGTCATATAGACCTTTAATTCTATAAACTAGATTTTCACTGAGTCTTTGGTTTCCATCATTTTCTTTTCTTCTGAATTACTAGCAACTGGTACTGTAGTGGCTATGAATCGGGCTGCTAACCTCAGGGTCGGCAGTTCAAAACTACCAGCTGTTCCGTGGGAGAAAGATGAGGCTTTCTGCTCCCGTAAAGATTTACAGTCTCGGAAACTCTGTGCAGGGTCACTATGAGTTGGAACCGACTCTACAGTATTTAACAACAACAACAGTTGTATCATTGATGGCTGCTAAGGAGCTCTGAAGCAGTAGTTAAGGACTTAGCTACTAACTGCAAGGTTGATAGTTTGAGTCCATTAGCCAGTTCATAGGAGAAAGATGTGGCATTCTGCTCCTATAATTATTTACAACCTTGAGAACCCATTGAGGCAGTTTTTATCCATCCTACAGGGTCACTTGTCCTGCCATGAATGAACACTGACGTAACGGCATTGGGTTAGCTGGCCACTCACAAACTTTTAAGACCCCAGATATTAGTGACCAAACTAGGATGGAGAACATAAATTCTATGAGTTATATTATCCTAACTGACCATCAATTTGAATTCCTTATTTGACAAACATGTTTTAACTATCTTGCTTTTGTGCCTCTACCCCATTGACTGGCCTGACTGGCCAAAGCTCAGATCTGCCATTTTCTTGACAGTACGCTTGGAGCTACAGTCTATATTTTTTGTTTTGTCTTGTCCTTTGTTTATTTGTTGTATGCATCACTATAAAGCAGAAATTAATGATTATAAATTATCTTAATTTACCTTATAATGATGCCTATTAGCCTGTCCTTCATCAATAACTGCTTATCTGAATGAACTTAGGTTAGTGATTTTGTAGAAGTTGTAATATATTTGATTTTTAACATACCTAGAAAAAAAAAAGTCATGGTGTTTTAAATACTCATTTAAAATAGTATACCACTATGCTTCTACAAAAGGATCCTTGGTAGCATGATGGATTACAAACTGGGCTGCTAACTGCAAGGTCAGCAGTTCGAATCTGCCACTTGCTCCTCGGGAGAAAGATGAGGCTTTTTTCTCCTGTAAAGCTTTATAGCCTTGGAAATCTGACACAAGGTTGCTATGAGTTGGAACGGACTCAGTGGCACACAACCACTATCACTATATTTCTAAAATGGCTGGAAACTACTAAAAAAAAAAAGGGCAAAATACTAGATAGAAAATGAAGAGAGGGAAGGGACAAATATATGTTATCAATTAGCTCTCAAACTTTGGCTAGGCAGTTACTATTTACCTAGCATATTTCATCCCCACAGTAACTATTTGAAGTAGATATTACTATAGATTAAGTGGAGGAAATGACAAGGTTTTCATATGACTAGGAGAAGATCTCAAAGGTATGAATTTATTAGGGATGTAGGACTAACATTGTGAGCATCCCAAGCTTAAGCAGAATTAGCACCAGACTATTAACCCAAGATCAGCGGTTTTAAACCCACAGGTGCTCCTTGGAAACCCTGTATAGGGTCACTATGAATCAGAACTGACTAGATGGCACTTAACAACAATAACAACAACAATTAAAACTCTTAGTGACTGAAGTTCATGAATCAATTTGGGGATAGTGGAGATAGTCCTGTACAGAGACTAGAACAGGTAGAGTGGCCACATGTGGCTATTTAAATTAAAATTAATGCAAATTATTCAAAATTTAAAATTCAATTTCTCAGTCACACTGGTGGTGGTGGTTATGTGCTGAGGAGTCGGTTCCGACTCATAGCGACCCTGTACAGGGTTTCTGAGGCGATACAGCTTTACAGGAGCAGAAAGCCTCATCTTTCTCCTGCAGAACAGCTGGTAGTTTCAAACTGCTGACCTTGCGGTTTGCAGCCCAATTCATAACCTCTATGCTACCAGAGCTTCTTAGTGAGCCTGAATTTAGGGCCAGAGGAGATTGGATGGTCTTGAAAGCTATTTCATCAGGTCTCGTGAATCAGCGTTTCCTTACTACTGAAAAGTCCTACTTCTATGACTCTTCAGTTGTGTTTATCAGATTCAAGGTCTTTTGCTTTAGTTAACTCCAGGTACTGTCAACTTCTGATTTTTTCCTTTTTCCTTTTCTACTTTCTAGTATGCTAGATTTCTCTTTGAAGGGATGAAAAGGGGGATGGAAGAAGTATGTTTTGAAAGTTTTCCAATGTTTGTCAGCAAGGGATATGAGTTTTGAAAATTTGAAAAATGCTGCTTTGTGTCCTCCTTTTCTCCCCTTGTTGTTAAGTGCAGTCAAGTCGACTCTGACCCATAGCGACCCTGTATAGGGTTTCCAAGGAGCAGCTGGTGAGCTTGAACCACTGACTTTGTGGTTCAAACCGACTTTGCAGTGCAGCACATTAACCCACATGATTCTGTTTTCTTCCGTAGCAGGGTAAAATAAAATAAGTTTATTTCTAGTTTGCTAAAGACCCTCCCATTTCTACTTTTTCTAGTCAAGTTTTTCTTACATCATGATAATCATAGTTTTTGGTGTGAAAATGCATCAGTCATGCCTAAATTAGTACATAACCCTGGGTTTTGCTGAGTGCTACTTACATTATTAGTGTGAAGTATGATTCTTACTGTTTGATAGTAATCCTCTTATTTCTTTATGTTTCGAGGTGTCTTAGTTATCTAGTGTTGCTGCCACGGAAATACCACAAGTGTATGGCTTTAGCAAACAGAAATTTATTGGAGAAAGTTCCTTCTCTCCTTGTGGCACATGTAGGCCCAGAATTCCTTGGAGACCTATCTCCATATGTGTTGACACCAATCTTTCCCTGAATATAGGAGGAGCGTTACAATGCAGGGACCCCAGATCCAAAGAACACACTCTGCTCCTGGTTTTTCTTTCTTGGTGGTAGTAAGTCCCTCTATCTCCGCTCAATTCTGTCACCTTTTATATCTCAAAAAAGATTGACTTAAGATAGACCCTAATCATGTAGATTATATCCACCCTCATTAACATCATAGAAGTGAGGATTTATAACACCCTGAATAACTTCATCCTATTAGGTATGATCACATCAGATCATATCATGGGTCGATTGTATGATGTTAGATCTCTTCATGGAGGTGATAACTACATCTCACCTGCCAAACCACTGAGAATCCTAGCTCAGTCAAGTTGACACCAAACCTTAACTATCACCTCATGGTTATGCCATTTATCACCAAGACGAGGTTGAGGAAGTACAGGAGTAGGTATAATAAATTTTGGCTAGGATGTAAGGGGTACAATATATGGAAAGAAAATACAACAGATGAACAGGAACCTTGGGCTCAAAAAGAGTTGAAAAGATAGGAGATCCTTGGACGTGTTTGATATTGACACGAAAAAATTGAGAGGGAGGATTTGAAGATATTTGCAAAAGGGCAGAAGGAGATGGGATCCAGCACAGATTTGGTATTAATTGAGAACCATCAAGAACATCCACATTTAAGACAGGAGCACACAGAAGAGAAGTGACTAGAGGGCAGGTCAAGCAGTAAGAGAGGTGTTACAGAAGATGGCATAAAAGAGGAAGAGAATTGTTGTTAAGAGAGAGATTTATTTAAATATAGCAAAAAGAAAGCCAATGTTTAGAAATTAAGTGGAGTGAAGGAATAGAAAGAAGTGAGGCTGTAGTACGTAAAAGAAGAATGAGAGAAGTAAAGAGTAAGTGCAGACAATGTTTCACAAAATATGGCTCTGATGAGGCGGCGGCTAAGAGAGATGACTGGTGGGAAATGGTCTAGGCAATCTCTTTTTAACCTAGGGCTTGAGCGAATTTAAATGATGATAGGTGGGGGGTCAGTAAAGGTGGAGATGAAGATTCAGAAGACAGAAGGTGTACTTCAAATAACAAAGTTCCTGAAAAGAGTGTATGCAATGACAACTTTAGACAGGATAAGGGACAACACTTTATTTGTGTTTAATTAATAATATGAGAAGCTGAGTTATATGAAGAAAAAGGTGGCATCAGGAATGGAGGAAGATTTATTAACAACCTGCGATATGCAGATGATACAACCTTGATTGCTGGAAGTGAAAAAGACTTAAAATATTTACTGGTGAAGATCAAAGAGCACAGTCTTCAGTATGGATTGCATCTCAATGTAAAGAAAACAAAAAACTGGACCAATAAACACATTCTTATCAACTGAGAAAAGACTGAAGTTGTCAAAGACTTCATTCTCCTTGGATCAACTATCAACACTCATGGAAGCAGCAGTCAAGAAATTAAATGACGTATTGCATTAGGCAAATCTGCTGCACAAGACCTTTTTAAGTGTTGAAGAGCAAAAATGTCAGCTTGAGGACTAAGGTACCCCTGACCCAAGCCATGGTATTTTCAATAACCTCATATGCATGCGAAAGCTGGACAGTGAATAAGGAAGACCGTAGAAGAATTGATGCTTTGGAGTTCTGGTGTTGGAGGAGAATATTGAAAGTGCCATGGGCTGCCAAAAGAACCAACAGATCTGTGTTGGAAGAAGTGCAGCCAGAGTGCTCCTTGGAGGCCAGGGTGGCCAAATTTTGTCAAACTTCGGACATATTGTCAAGAGGGACCAGTCAACTGGAGAAAGTTTGAGTTGTGTTATTTTTATGGCACTCTGAATACATGCGGTACTGTAGGATAATTCAGTGACCACAAGGTCAGTTTGAACTGCAAGGTTAGCAGGTTCAAACCTACCAGCCACTCCTCGGAAATCCTATACAGGGTCTGTATGAGTTGAAACCGACTAGACTGCAATTAACAAAATACATTTGGGGAGTAATGAATTTGGAAAATCCAGCCTTTTACCACCAGTTATCTCACCCTCAAACTCTTATCTCCTTCACCCTCAGTACCACAAAGGAGGCCCCATCATTGCTGTGCAGTTGGAGAATGAATATGGTTCATATTATAAGGATAAGAGATACATGCAATATATTAAAAAGGTAAGTGCTCCTTTAAATTTTTCTCCATATTTACATACTTCTTTTCAGTTAGCTTATACAGCAAACATTTCTTGTGTGCTTCTAGTTTGCATGTTATCACAGAATATACCAATGAAAAAAGGTCTGGTCTAATGTTTCCACGTGTTTACAATCTGGAAGAGACTGAGATGTCACTAAATCCACTGTCATTGACTCAGTGTGGATGCATAGTGACTCTGTAGGAGAAAGCAGAACTCTTCCAAGGTTACTAAGGCTGGAAATCTTTTTGAAGACTGGTACTTCCTTCTCTTGTAGAGTGATTGATGGCTTTGAACTGCTGACTTTTTGGTTAGCAGCTAAATGCTTTAATCACTATGCTGTCAGGGATCCCCTGAGAACTACCTAAACAAGTCTAATATGAAGGAAAGAATGGTATTAAAATATCTCTTTTTCTGTGGATATCACAATGCTCTTTTGGTTGTGGTTTGCATGATATGCACTTTTCTTTCCTTTTACCTCCAAGTTTTTATATTAAGGTATATATCCTGTGGTGGGAGTCCTGGTGTGGTGCTGTAGGATAAGCACTGGACTGCAAGGTTGGTTTGAACTGCAAGATTGTTGTTGTTGTTGTTAGGTGCCATCAAGTCAGAACTGCTCATAGTGACCCTATGCACAACAGAATGAAACACTGCTAAATCCTGGGCCTACCTCACAATCATTGCTATGTTTGAGCCCATTGATGCTGTCACTGTGCCATTCCATCTTGGTGAAGGGTCTTCTTCTTTTTCTCTGACCCTCTACTTTATCAAACATGATATCCTTCTCCAGTGACTAGTCCCTTCTGACAATATGTCCGAAGTATCAGAGATGAAGTCTGGTCATCCTGGCTTCCAAGTATCACTCTGGCTGTACTTCTTCTAACACAGATCTATTTATTCTTTTGGCAGTCCATGGTTGTGCAAGTCCAGCTAACACCACCGGGTGGTGGAGACGACGCAGTTTAGAAATAAAACACAGACATAAATTAGGAATTAAGGGAAACCGTAAAACTCATAACCTCTAGGATCAAGAGCCAAGCAAAACAAATCTTCACAGCGAGGATTATTCCCACCTCCTCCACACACGGAGAGGACAGGGGTGGGCAACTTGGACATTGGCTACCCAGAATGGGGGGGCTACAGAGGCAAGAATTGACTGGCTTACAATCTTTCAAGAGGGAACATAGATCCAGAAGGCGTGGAGCAAGGTAGAATCTCCACTGCATGGTATCCATTCTGCCTAATGAAGGCTAATGAAAGGAGATGCGGATAGGTCTCTTGTGATACAATCATGAATAATTGTTATCAGGACTGATTGTAAGGACTGGAAATGTACAGGTGGACATTTTGGAGCAAAGGGAAGGGAGTGATTAACCTTGCAGTCTAGGAGTGGAGGTTCTTGGGACCATCAAAGGAGAAGAGCAGAGAACAGAACTCTACCCAGAGAAGCAGTGATGCCAGGGACGGAGGCAGAGACAATGACATGGGGAGATGGAGTGGCTGGAGACTCTGGACCTGGAGAGAGAGAGGGGCGGTGTGCAGATGACAGGGGGGCAGGTGGTTGATTGATGATGCATGGAAGGGATTGTAATCATGGCAAGGAAACAATATACAACGGGATCAACGGGAAACTGATGTCCTCCCATGTAAACTATCACATAATTCACAATAAAGCATTAAAAAACAAAACCAAAGAGCCAAGTAAGACTCATGATCTCTAGGATCAAGAGCCCAGCAGGACTCACGATCTCTAGGACCAAGAGCCCTGAGACATGGCGGTACTCCATATTTATTAGCCTCCAGCCTTTACATCCCCCCAGGATGCCATACATCACTGACATTAAAGGGATCTTTTGACATTATACAGCCATTTCTGCAACACTTTTAGTAAAACTTTGCTCGTATGGGATATCAGTGATATTGCCCAATGATTTCTGCATTCTGTTGGGTCACCTCTCTTTGGAATGGGCACAAATACAGATCTCTTCCAATCAGTCGGCCAGATAGTTGTCTTCCAAATTTCTTGGTATAGATGAATGAGTGCCTCTAATGCTACTTCACTTTGTTGAAAGATATCAATTTGTATTCCATCAATTCCTGGTACCTTGTTCTTTGCCAATGTCTTCAATGCACCTTGGACTTACTTCCTTCAGGATCATTGGGTCTTGAGCATATGCTACTTCTTGAAATGGGTGAATATCAACCATTTCTTTTTGGTACAGAGACTGTGTGTATTACTTCCATCTTCTTTTGATGTTTTGTTTATCATTCGTATTTTGCTCATAGAATCCTTCAGTAACGCAAATCAAGGTTTGAATTTTCTCTTCAGTTCCCTCAGCTTGAGAAATGCTGAGTGTGTTCTTCCCTTTTGGTTTTCTAACTCCAGGTCTTTGCATATTTTGTTATAATATTTGACTTCTTCTTCTTGAGCTGACCTTTGAAATTTTCTGTTCAGCTCCTGTATCTCCTCCTTCTTTTCACATCTCTATGCTGGAGAGCAGGTTTCAGATTCTCTTTTGACATCCATTTTGGTATTTTCCTTATCTCTTGTTTTCTCAGTGATCTTTTGCCTTATTCCTGTATGATGCTCTTTTTCATACAGGTTGCTATGAGTTAGAACCAACTCCATGGCACATACAACAACAACAATGCTGAAATCTACTATCTTATTATTTTCTTTCTTTTTGTGTCACTTATTTTATGGTCCCTTTCTTGCCTTCTTTTGCATTGATTGAATACTTTAAAAACAATTTAAATATTTTGAAGAAAGAAGAGGGGGGAAAAAAAGAGTAACCTGTTACAATCTGATGAACTTTACCTATACTTATGGATGTAGCAGCTCAAAAAAGGTATCAAATCTTTACAGCGAGGATCACTCCCACACCCTCAGTATACTGTTAGACAACAGTAGTGAGGTTGGCCCAGGATTGGGCAGTGTTTCGTTCTGCTGTGCATATGGTCATTATGGGTCAGTACTGACTCGATGACACCTAACAACAACATAAAGGCAAGAAGTGACTGGCTTATAAGTTTTCAAGAGGGAGCCTAGTTCTAGACGGGGCAGGGGAAGGTAGAATCACCACTGAATAATTTCCAATTGGTTGGGACTGGGCTGGAGAAAGGAAATGGGGATAAGACTCTTGTTGTACAATAGTGAATAAGTGCCATCAGGACTGACTGTGAGGGTAGGAAATATAGAAGTAGATGTTTTTTGACAAAAGGAGGAGAGTGATTGATTTTGCAGCCCAGGAGCGGAGGTCACTGGGACCATCAAGTGAGAAGAACCGAGAGCAGGACCCTACCCAAGAGGCAGTGATGTCAGGGATGGAGACAGAGAGGATGATGTGGACAGATGGAGCTGCTGGGGACACTAGACTCAGGGAGGGAGAAGGGCTGTGTGCTGATGGCCTGGGGGTGGGCCTGTGTGGTGTACCTTTTGGTTATTTGATGATGCACGGAGCGGATTGTAATCATTGCAATGAAACTAAATATGATAGGATGACTGTAAAGGTGATGTTCTCCCATGTAAACCTCACAATAAAAACTTTAAAAAAATTTTTAAAAAGTGTTTTGTTACCTATATATTTACATTAAAAAAAATACTCCTTTGTTTTTAAACTGCCTTCCCTATCATCCAGGTTAACACGTGTCTACCCTCTAGCTGGAGTCCTGGTGTGGTGCGGCATGTTAATGCACTGGACTGCAATGTGGGTTTGAACCACAACATCGGTGGTTCAAGCTCGCCAGCTGTTTCTCAGAAACCCTATACAAGGTTGCTATGAGTTGGAACTGACTCAATGGCACTTAACAACAAAACCCTCTAGCCAGTTGTACCTTCCTACCCCTAGTGTGGCACTGTAGGGTCAGCACTGGACTGGCCAGCAGTTCAAACTCACCATCTGCTTCTTGGAAATCCTATACAGGGTTGCTGTGAGTTGGAACAGACTCAACAGCACTTAACAACAACCACCAGCCCTGGTAACTATCATAGTATGTAAACCTTTTCTTGAACTTTTAACAATAGTGGTATTGTTCTGGTAGCATAGTGGTTATGAGTTGCGCTGCTAATTTCACGTCAACGGTTCAAAACTACCAGTGGTTCTGTGGGAGAAATATGGGGCCTTTTGCTCTCATAATGATTTATAAACTCGGAAACCCTATACAGTCACTATGAGTCCGAACTGACTCCATGGCACATAACCACCATCACATCGTACAATATTTGTCTTTTTGTGATTGACTAATTTCACTCAGCATAATGTCTTCCAGATTCATCCATGTTATGATATGTTTTGCAGATTCATCATTATTCTTCAGCATTGCCTAGTATTCCATTGTGTATATGTACCAAAGTTTGTTAAACCATTTTCCTGTTTATAGGCATATATAGTGTCTCCATCTTTTTGCTATTGTGAATAGTATTACAGTGAACATGAGTGTGCATATATCTATTCGTGTCATGGTTCTTATTTGAGGATATACGAAGTTGAGAGTTTGCTGGGTCATACAATATTTTGATTTCCAACTTTTTGAGAACGCGCCATACCATTTTCCGCAGTGGTTGCACCATTTTATAATCCCACCTGCAAGGTAGGAGGGTTCTAGTTTTTCCACATTCTGGCTAGCATTTGTTGTTTTTTGGGTTTTTGATGTTTGCTATTAATAATGTGGTAAGGTGATATCTGATTGTTGTTTTTATTTGCATTTCTCTAATGGCTAATGATCTTGAGCATTGCTTCGTACATTTACTGGCCATGTAAATGCCGTCTTTGGTAAAGTGTCTATTCATGACTTCTGCCCATTTTTTAATTGGATAATGTGTTGTCTTCTTGTAGAGGTGTTGAAGTGTTCTATAAATTTTAGAGCATTGTCCCTTGTCTGGTGTATCATTGCCAAAATTTTTTCCTCAGTCTGTGGATTCTCTTTTTAGAAAAAATTTGATACAGAGTATTATTCAATTTCCATACATTTTATTCCCCCCCT